GGCGTCGGCCAGGGCTCGGTGCGCGAGTCGCAGCTCCTCGTCATGCGCTGGATGGGCGCCGGCAAGGCGAAGAAGCCGACCAAGGGCAAGGGCAAGGCCGGTGAGAGCGCGCCGCTGGCGATCGTCGGCAAGGGTGTCTGCTTCGATACCGGCGGCATCTCCCTGAAGCCGGCCGCCAGCATGGAAGACATGAAGTGGGACATGGGCGGCGCCGGCGTGGTCGTCGGCACCCTGCACGCCCTGGCCGCCCGCAAGGCCAAGGTCGACGTGATCGGCATCTGCGGCCTGGTCGAGAACATGCCCGACGGGGCCGCCCAGCGCCCGGGCGACGTGGTCCACTCCATGTCCGGCCAGACCATCGAGATCATCAACACCGACGCCGAGGGACGTCTGGTCCTGGCCGATGCGCTCTGGTACCTGCAGGAGACCTACAAGCCGAAGGCGATCATCGACCTGGCGACCCTGACGGGCGCCATCCTGATTTCCCTCGGCCGCTCGATGGCCGGTCTGTTCAGCAACGACGACGAGCTCGCCGAGCGCGTCCTGGCCGCCGGCAAGGCGGTGGGCGAGCCCTGCTGGCGCCTGCCGATGGGCGAGGAGTTCGACCGGGCGATCGACAGCGACATCGCCGACATGAAGAACACCGGCGGCCGCTGGGGAGGCTCGATCACCGCCGCGCAGTTCCTGCAGCGCTACATTCAGGACGGTACGGCCTGGGCGCATATCGACATCGCCGGCGTGACCTGGAGCGACAAGGACAAGCCCACCGTGCCCAAGGGCGCGACCGGCTTCGGCGTGCGTCTGCTCGACGAGCTGGTGGCCAAGCACTACGAGAAGTGATCCGCGGCTGAGCCCGGCGAAGAGGCCCCGCCACCGGCCGGCATTCGCGGCGGGGGCGGGGCTTTTTCGCTCTGATCTTTAAGAATTTTTTATAAGCTTTTGAAATACATGGCTGCCGGCACGGCGACTTCGTCGCCTGCATGTTGACGTGGCGCTTTAACTTGTTTGACAGAGGTGCTGCGGATAGTCTGCCGCCACGCGCGACGGGGCAGAGTGAGGTGACGGCGCTGCGCCCGGGATCGGGCCGCGGCGCCGGCGCCGAGGTGCGGCGGGTCGCGGGGCGCGCGTCGCGCCGAGGGATATGGCAAGGGAGGAGTCGCCGACGTGGCCGAGCAACCGGCAGCCAGTGAACCTGCGTCCACGGATGGTACCTCTCAGGCGGCGAAGTGCGCGGCGAAGGGCGCGGCGGAGGGCCGCGACACTGCCTTTCGGGACGGCATCCTGGGGCGTCGGCCAGGACCGGGGCGGCGGCTGCGGGCTTGGCTCGACCGTCACTTCGTCGAGCGGGAGATCCTGATCCGCGGCAACGACCGCGTGCGCCATCTGCGGATCTCCGCCCGGGCGCAGAAGCTGGCGAGCGTCGCGGTGATCGGCCTGGGGGCCTGGGCGGCGGCGGCGACCCTGGGGGTCGGCGTGCAGCAAGGCCTGTTGGCCGAGCGCAAGGCGGTGATCGCCCAGCAGCAGCTCGCCTACCTCGACCTGATGGCCGAGGTCAGCGACTACCATGCCCAGTTCACCCGCATCACCTCCGACCTGGAGGCCAACCAGACTCTGTTGCTCGAGGTGCTTCAGGAAGACGGCATCGCGCCGGACAAGCTGGCGGGCATCGCCGACGGGCTGACGCCGTTCGACGAGGCCGAGGACCGCATGGCCCTGGCCCGCGAGTCGCTGCGCGACCGGCTCGCGACCTTCGAGGCCAGCCTGAAGGACATCGCCCAGCGCAATGAGACGCTGCAGGGCCAGGTCGCCGCGTTGCGCGCGACCCTGCACGCCAGCGAGGCGGAGCGCTCGGAGATCGCCGATGCGCGCGCGCGGCTGAACCGCCGTCTGAGCGGCGCGCAGGCCGATCTGCGCGCGGCCCGCGACAGCAACCTGCAGCTTCAGGGGGTGATCGGCGAGCTGCGCGGCAAGCTGGCGGCGGCCGAGACGCAGGTGGCCGACCTCAGCGAGCTGCGCGAACTGATGAAGGCCGACATCCGGCGGCTGCGGGGCGAGGTGGACTCGGCGATGACGCGCGAGGCCAAGCAGCAGCGTCGGCTGGCCGCTCTCAAGGCCGAGCTGCGCCAGGCCGTCGCCCGCGGCGACGGGCTGCGCGACGAGCGCGACCGCATGGCCGCGCAGTTGGTCGCCAGCTTTACCGAAATGGGACAGTTGCGCGCCGCCCATCAGGCCCTGCTGGAGCGACTGGACGAGCGCACCGCGCGCTCGATCAGCGCCCTGGAGACGGCGTTGTCGATGACCGGCGTCGACTTCGAGCCGCTGATCGCGGAGGTCGAGACCTCGCTGCGCCAGGCCCGGCTCGAAAGCGTCGGGGAGGAGGCCTCCGCGTTGGGCGGGCCCTATCTGCCGGCCGGCTTCTCGGGCGCCGCCCTGCCCAGCGGCCTGGCCGGTCCGCCCGATCCCCATGCCGACCGGCTGGCGGCCACCTACAGTCTGCTCGATCAGCGCCTGGACCGCTGGGATGCCATCAAGACGCTGTTCGAGGCGGCGCCGGTCGCCGCGCCGATGCGCCAGTATCGCCTGACCAGCGGCTTCGGGCTGCGCGACGATCCCCTCAACAAGAAGAAGTCGCGCCACGAAGGGCTGGACCTGGTCGGCGGTTGGCGCGAGCCGATCCTCGCGACCGCGCCCGGCAAGGTCACGCTGGCCGGCTGGAACGGCGCCTACGGGCGCATGGTCGAGATCGACCACGGCCACGGCTTCAAGACGCGCTTCGCCCATATGCGCCGCGTGGACGTGGAGGTGGGGGATATGGTCTCCTTCGGCGAGCAGCTCGGGCAGATGGGCAACTCCGGCCGCAGCACCGGCGCCCACCTGCACTACGAGATCCTGTTCAACGGCAAACCCTACGACCCGGCCAAATTCCTGAAGGCAGGCAGGCATGTTTTCAAAGGGTAAGAAGAAGACCAACGGCAGCGCCCTCAGCGCCGGCCAGACCAGCGAAGGGGCCGGCAGCAGCCGCGCTGCCGCCGTGCGGGAGGGGGCGGGCGCGATGACGCGGCGCCAGCCCAGCGGCGTGCCCTCGATCATCAGCGCCGACCTGACCATCGAGGGCAATCTGGTCAGCCACGGCGACCTGCAGGTCGACGGCACCGTCAAGGGCGATATCAGCAGCCGGACTCTGACCCTCGGCGAATCCGGTCAGGTCGAAGGCGCGATCGAGGCCGAGACGGTGCGCATCTGCGGCGAGGTCGAGGGCGAGGTGAAGGCCGCGACCGTGGTGCTGACCAAGACCGCCAAGGTGCGCGGCGACGTGGTGCACGACAGCCTGGCGATCGAGGCCGGCGCCTTCATCGACGGCCACTGCCGGCGCGATGCCAGCGCCAGCCAGGCCCCGGCCAAGCTGCTCGACGCCAAGGCGACGCCGGCCGCCGGCAACGGTCAGGCAGGCGTCGGCCAAGCGGGGAGCGGCCAAGCGGGGAGCGGCCAGGCGGGCGGCGGTCAGGCAGAGGCCGGCAAGCCCGCAGCCGGGGGCGAGGGGAAAGCGGCGGCCGAGCCCGGCAGTTCCGCCCCGGCCCGCTAAAGCGATTTGCGACCGTTTGGACGCGCGTCAGCGCCTCCGCCGGTCGCGAAAAATCACTCTGACCCTTTGGTGTAGAGCAGGTTTCTTGTGATCGGCGAACCCACGCTGGGGGTCCAAACGATCACGATCCACTCTCGCGCCGGCGCGGTAGATCCGACTCCAGAAGCTCCAGCTCGCCAGCCCCGGTCTGTAGACCTGGCGCGGAAGACGGCGCGGGCGGCCGGGCTCACTCCGGCGGCACGCGCTCCAGCGCTGTCGTCAACGTGGTCGGATCGACGTTGCCGCCCGACAGCGTCAGGCAGACCGTCTCCTCGCGCCCGATCTCAAGCTTGCCGGCCAGCAGCGCGGCGAGGCAGACGGCGCCGCCGGGCTCGACCACCAGCTTGAGGCGGCGGAAGGCGTAGGCCACGGCCCGCTCCACCTCCGCATCCGACACCCGCAGCGCGCCGCTCAGCCGGCGCTGCAGGATCGGGAAGGTCAATTCGCCGGGCGTCGGCGTCAGCAGGGCGTCGCAGATCGAGCCGGCCTGGCGCGGGTTGGCCTGCCGCGTGCCGCTCTCGAGGGAGCGGGCGGTGTCGTCGAACAGCTCCGGCTCGACGGTGTAGAGCCGCGTCTGCGGCGAGCGGGCCTCCAGCGCGACGGCGATGCCGGAGGTCAGGCCGCCGCCGCCGCAGCAGACCAGCATGCGATCCACCTGCGCGCCCAGCGCTGCCGCCTGCTCGGCGATCTCCAGGCCGCAGGTGCCCTGGCCGGCCATGACGAAGGGATTGTCGTAGGAGGGCACCAGCGTCAGGCCGCGCGTGCGCACCAGTTCGTCCGCCACCTCCTCGCGCCGCTCGCGCTCGCGGTCGTACAGCAGCACCTCGGCGCCGTAGCCGCGGGTCCGCTCGATCTTGTTGCGCGGCGCGTCGGACGGCATGACGATCACGGCCGGGGCGCCGAACAGCCGGGCCGCGGCGGCCGCGCCCTGGGCGTGGTTGCCCGAGGAGTAGGCGACGATGCCGCGGGCGCGCTGCGCCGGTGTCAGGCTGGCCAGGCAGTTGTAGGCACCGCGGAACTTGAAGGAGCCGGTGCGCTGCAGCACCTCGCACTTCAGCAGCACGCGGTAGCCCAGCAGTTCCGACAGCTCCGGCGCCTCCAGCAGCGGCGTGACCACCGCCAGTCCGGCCAGGCGCGCGCGCGCCGCTTCGATGTCCGCGAAGGCGATCGCCTCAGGCGGCCGGGTCGACGGCGCCGGCGGCTCCTGTCTCGGTGGCAGCGTCGACTCGGGCAAGGAAGTCATCGATGGCCTCCACGGCTTCGGGTTCTGCGAGCGAGGGGGCGTGGCCGAGCCCGGCCACGGTGACGCTGGCCAGCCCCGGATGCGCCCGCTCCATCCGGGCCAGGGTCGCGGCCGAGAGGACCGGCGAGGCCTCGCCACGGATGGCCAGCACAGGACGCCGGGCAAGTCCGGCGAAAAGGCGCCAGAGATCGGGCAGTTCGCCGGCGGTGCGCTTCAGCGGCTTGACGATCTGCGTGTCCCAGTCGACGTGCAGCCGGCCGTCCGCGCCCGGGCGGAAGCTGGCCTCGGCGAAGCGGCGCCAGGTCTCCTCGTCGCGGAACCCGATCTCCTGGCCGAAGACCTCCTTGAGGAAGCGTGTGGCCGCGTCCAGGTCGGGCTGCGGCGTGTCCCGGCCGACGTAGGCGAAGATCTTGTCCAGCGAGCCGCCCTCGAACTCCGGCCCGATGTCGTTCAGCACGGCGCCGGCCAAGGCGCCCGGCACGCTGGCGGCCAGGCCCATGGACAGCAGCCCGCCCAGCGAGGTGCCGATCGCTACGAAGCGCGGCAGCCGCGCCACGACCAGAAGATGGCGCAGGTCGTCGAGGTACTGCACCGGGTGGTATGTCCGCCAGTCGCGCGCATAGGCGGAGCGGCCACGTCCGCGGTAGTCGGGGCAGACCACCCGGCGCCGGGCCGAAAGGCGCGCGGCCAGGTCGGCGAAGTCCTTGGAGTTGCGCGACAGTCCGCCCAGGCAGAGCAGGGGCGTGGCCGCGCCCGACGCGGGCCCGGGATAGTCCCGGTAGTAGAGGGCGAGGCCGTCCTGCGCGGAAAAACGCCGCTCGCGGTAGCTCGGGGCGGTCACGGGGGCGCGGCTCACAGTCCCAGCAGGCCCGGCAGCTCGTCCAGGCCGGCGATCACGGCCTTCGGCTCGCCGGGCAGGCGGTCGAGCTGCTGGCCGAAGCGGTTCATCCAGGCCACCTGGAAGCCGAAGTGGGCCGCGCCGCGGGCATCCCAGCCGTTGGTCGAGACGAAGGCCACCCGGGGCGGGTCGCTCAGGTCGAGCCGGTCGAGCGCGAGCCGGTAGACGCGGGCGTCGGGTTTGTAGACCCCGACCTCCTCGATCGAGAGGGTGGCATCGAGCAGGTCCGCGATGCCGGCGTGAGCGATGGCGGCGTCCAGCATCTTCGGCGCGCCGTTCGACAGGAGGGCGGTCTGGCACCCGGCGGCGCGCAGGCGCGCCAGCGCGGGGCGCACGTCGGGATAGGCGTCCAGCCGGAGGTAGAGCTGCATCAGGCGTTCGGCCAGGGCGGCGTCCGCGATTTCGTTGGCGGCCAGGGCGAAGTCCAGGGCCTCGCGGGTGACCTGCCAGAAGTCGGCATGGGCGCCCATCAGGCTGCGCAGCCAGGTGTATTCGAGCTGCTTCTGCCGCCAGAGCTGCGACAGCGGCTGCCTCTTCTCGCCCAGGGCCGCCGCCTCGCCGGCGGCGGCCGAATGCACGTCGAAGAGCGTGCCGTAGGCGTCGAAGACGCAGGCTTCGATCCCCGCGAAGGCGGCCATTGCGGCTCCCGTTCCCTGTCCCGTCGGCCGGTCTCCCGACGCGTCGGGGGAGGCTAATCGGTCGCGGGGCCGCGCGCCAGGGTGAAGAGCGCGGGCAGGGACTCGGGCGGCAGGCCCAGCTTCTGGCGGTAGACGTAGGTGGCCTCCAGCACGCGCTGGACGTAGTTGCGCGTCTCGGAGAAGGGGATCGTCTCGATCCAGGCGATCTCCTCCACCCCCGGGTCGCGCGGGTCGCCGTACTCTACGAGCCACTGGTCGACCCGGCTCGGCCCGGCGTTGTAGGCCGCCAGCGCCAGCGGCAGGTAGCCGTCGTAGCGGGCCACCATGTCGATCAGGAAGACGCGGCCGAGCGTGACGTTGTAGGCCGGGTCGTCGGTCAGCCGCGACAGGCTGTAGTCGAGCCCCAGCTCGCCGGCGGTCTGCTTGGCGGTGGCCGGCATGAGCTGCATCAGCCCGCGCGCGCCGACGCGGCTGACCGCCCGCGTCCAGAAGGAGCTTTCCTGGCGCATCAGGCCGAGCACCAGCGCCGCCTCCCCGGCCGGGCCGAGCTCCAGGCCGTCGAGCAGGGGGAACAGGTGGTCGGCCAGCACATGGCCGTCGCGGCGCGCCAGCTTGGCGGTCCAGACCCGCTGGTCGGGCCGCTCCAGGCGCGTGGCCAGGTCGCCGATCAGGCGCCAGTCCACCTCGTCGCGCGCGCGCTGGCGAAGAGCGGCGAAGAACTGGAACACCAGGTCGTGCCGCTCCAGCGCCGCAAGCTGTTCGATCACCCGGACCAGCTCCAGCTCCCGAAAGGCCGCGCGGCGGCTGTCGGGGATGCGGGCGGGCGGGTTGCCGACCACCGCGGGCGCGCCGCCGAGACGGGCGATCGCCATCTGCCCGTAGAAGGTCTCGCCGTGGACCGCGGCGCGGCGCCACCAGGCGGCGGCGGCGGCCGACCGGCCGGCGCGCGCTTCGGCCTCGCCGGCCCAGTAGGCGCCGCGCGCCAGGCTGATCGGCGAGGAGACGCCGGCATGCAGCCGCTCGAAGTGGGGCAGGGCCAGGGCCGGGTCGCGCAGCCAGTCGAGCGCCACCCAGCCGGCCAGGAACTCCGCCTCGGCGAAGGCCACCCCCGCGCTCAAGCCGCTGTCGGCGGCCAGGCGGTAGGCCAGCGAGACCTCGCCCAGCCGCAGGGCGCGCCGCGCCATCCAGGCGCGCAGGTCCCACCACTGCTCGGGGTGTTCGACCGTCACCGGCACCGGATCGACCAGCTCCAGGGCGTCGCGGAAGCGGTCGGCGCGCATGCGCCAGCGGGCGCGCTCGAAGACCAGCCCTTCGTCGTCGCGCAGGCGCTGCGGCACCCGCTCGATCGCCGCGTCGACGCCGGGCTCGCGCTTGGCCAGCTTGAGCCGCGCGGTGGCCAGCTCGGCAAAGCCGGGGCCGAGGCGGCGGGCCTGGCGCAGGGCGGCGGCGCCGCGCTGCGCGAACAGCAGGCGCTCGAAGCGCGCCCGCTCGTCGTCGGGCGTCAGA